ATCGGTTGATTCACGACGAGCGACAAGCTTATTCAGAGCAAGGCTTGTCGAGTTTTGATCGGACTAGGACAGCGAGTTGTTTGGTGGCGGTGACACGACCTATGGTCACTTTCGACGATCGAAATCGTGAAAATATCAACAGTGGGCTTTTAGGTTTCGACGAACCTTCAAGAGGCTCTCCACGACAATCGGCGACGATTTTTGACAAATTATCAAAGGGGTTTTGATTGGAGAACGATGGGGAACGAAGTGGTGGTGGCGGTGCACGTCACCACTGGTCGGAGATCGGTGAACGACGATGAGACAGTGAGTTGGGTTATGGGTTTTTATTCAAACATGAGCATAAATTTGGAGTTTGGTTATTATTATTATTAGTATTATTATTATTTCAAAACTATAGATTGATGGGATAATTCCAGTTTAGATCCCTAAGCTTCCTAAAACTTTTAAAAAACTGATCTCAAGATCCTAAGTTTTACGATTTGGTCCTCATAATTAACTTACTATAATCCAATAATTAAATCTCAATATTTTTGGGGTGCCACATTATTTGGGCAAACTTTTATGTGGACGTGAAGAGTTTTTCTGCACCTTTAGTATTTGCTGTAGATTTTAAATTATTTTTCGAGATGACCTAATGGGTTAATTTTTTCATTTGCTTGGCCTATTAGGCTAATTTTGTCTAGAGATAGGGTTTGACCGGGCCACTATTTTTTTTTCATATTTCATTTAACCCCTTTAAGTTTTAAATTCTTTCAAATATGAATATTATGTTTGCCCCCAAAGTTTTTGTTTATTCGAATTATGTTTGATGTCAATTTTTTTTATAAAAATTCAACTTTCTTTTGTAGAATTTGTAATGTGTAATTTTATAAAGCGCTGAATAACTTTAGTAGCATTGTTTAAATCTCATTAAGTACTAACTTAATCTTCCTATTACCCTTTCAATTAAAAATGAATAAATTTTTTATTATGTGTAAAAACGTTAAACCATTATAATATTTAATATTTTTTTGCATTTTACTTTTTAATACAAGCAACTATGTTTTATTTTGTTAATATAAATTAATTCCATGCCTATTTTCATTATTTTGGTTGATAATACTATAGAATATTTTAATTTTAAATCTAAAATTAAAAAAATGAATTATTATTAGTATTATAATATAAATTTCAAATCTAAAATTATAGAAAATTATTATTAGTGATTGTCTTTGTTGTATGCTAATTGATTTTTTTTTACTTTTACCTAATATCTTAATAATTAATTTAGAGGTCAAATCAATGTGGTAATACAAGACTGGCCCTCTTATCTCTAAGGACCATTTAAGTAAAATAAACCTAAAAGATTAGGACAGCTTATTTAATCCAACAAAACATTACGGCATTCAAGGCCAACCAACAACTTAGGCTACTACTTGGCTTTAGTTTCTCTATTTATTTATTTATCCTTTATTTTTTTAAAGACACTTTTTCTTCATTTTGTTGATAACCTTTAAGATGTCAGAAGTGATTGTATTCTTTAAAAATTATAAATTATTATATCATTTAAATATTTTCAGGGTAAATTACATTTTATAAATGATTATCTGAGTTTAAGATATTATTTTATTAAGTTTTTTGTTTACATAGAGTTACTTTTGACTATTAAAAGTTATAAAATGATCAATTGACTATTCATAAACTCATCATTTTTCGTTAAAATTTTGATGACATTTTGAGTTGTACGTTAACCTGCTGAATGAAATAGGATAAATATGATCTCATAATCTCAAACGACTATCATATCTCGATCAGTATGTTAATGTCTAGCTCAGATGACCGTTATTTTTTTAATGGAAAAGAACGAGTTTGGAACATAATGAATAGTCGAGTGACAATTTTGTAACTTTTAATAGTCGAGTGACTCAACAATACAACTTACTATAGTCAGATGAACTATTTGTAACTTTTAATAGTCAAATGACTCTATGTTATGTGCTTTATCCATATTTTTATTAATGATTTAATTTTTATCTTTTGAAATTTTATAATTTCTTACGCCTAAATTTAAAATATAATTTTTTTTTAAATATTCATATTTTTACATAAATTTGTATATCCATTCTTATTTTTTCGTTTCCTACTTTTTGGGGTTTGATTGTTTTGGTAGGGACTTGTGATTACTAGATTGAGATGTACTATTTTCTTTTTTGTTTATTATTATTTATTTATAGGTTATTGGTAGGCCTTAGGAGCTACCAAATTCTTCTGTGTTTTAAGAACAAATGGTTGCATGCATTTGTCATGAAAGCATCATTCATGATGTGATGCACATTTATAGTCTTGATGTGAAGCTTTTCTTAGTTTTAGACTTTTAGTCCTACATACATGGGGTTAATTTCTACACAATATTAATAAAAATACAAAAAATATCTAACCCGTATAAAATTTTAAAATAATAACACAAAATATTTACATATGAGATAAAAATAAATAAAATTTTAAGATGAATATAATTATAAAAATAAATAACTATTACTGAAAAAATATTGAATTCCAAAATGGAGATCTGCCCGTTCTCATATAAACATGACTAAATTTTGAGTATCAAATAATATTTATACTGATCTCGTAAATAATATTAAGATAAAGACAATAAAATCATAGAACAAAAAAATAGATTTATATAGAAAACTCTAAATAAGAAAATAAATGAAAATAAATTTATTAATGTAAAAATAAAAAATAAAAAAGAATATAATTATATGTAATGACTTTTTTTTTGATAAAAATAGAAGTGGTTAGTTTTATTAAAAAATAAAATATTTAAATTACAATGAAAGTTTACCATCACCAACGTAAAATATATTTTACATGTAATATATTGATTCGAACGTTGTAAAATATATTTTACACTTAATATATTGATTCAAACACTGTTTCTAGTTTATAGTTGAAGGATGTGCACATAGTCCAAACTAGGGACGGACATAGGAAGGGTCGGATCCGGTTTTTAGTCAACTCGATTTGACTCAAAAGTATATACCTTCACCCAAAACTTGATTCAACTCGATTTTAGAGGCGACTTCATTTGACCCGAATTCGAACTTATTTTTTGAATTAAAATTCGGTCATATCTGAAATAAATATATTTATAAAAATATTACTTTTTGTTCAATAAAAATAGAGATTTAATTGAAAAAAATAATGTATAAAAGACTATTGTTGTAATTATCCCTAAATATACAAGGTAAATTTGCCTAATTTTTTGGGTGGGTCGGTGGAGTATTTTTTCACTCTAAACATATTTTCTAAAAAACTCGACCTGACCCAACCTCAATTTTTTTAATGAATTCGACTCGATTAAGTCAGGTCGAATTGAAATCCGTAGGATTCAGAGTATTGTGCACATCCCTGGTCCAAAAATAATGAATGATCACCCACCAAAGTTATTGCTTTCTTATATGTAATCACAATTAATCAGTCCGGCAAAAAGCTCCCCTTGCGTGTTGTTACATTGACATGGATTAATCAAATCCTGGTCCTCGACAACATGATTAAGATTTAGACATCAATCTTTAATTAATGAAACATCACCTGAAATTGCCCTAATCTTGGATGCTGTTACTGGTTCCTATGTCTATCACTCACATCTTTTTCTTCTAAAATTAATGGAAGCTGTTTAAGTTAATGAAACAGATAGATTTGTTTTCATTTAATTCTTCATTATCCAATCCAAATCTCAACATCATTTGGTTAGACGTCTCTCATTCACGTCCTTTTGTTTATGCTTTAATTCAGTTGCATGAATATGTACGTTTAATTGATCGTCACCGTACGCATGCTTATGTTTTATAATTTAGACATTTTGCATGAATTAGGGTACGTCATTTTAGTTATTTAGGGTTCAATATTTCAAAAGACTTGATATTACCAATTGAAGTTATTAGTAGGGTTTCAAATCGTGGTTGCGTCGTGGTCGTGTTTTTTATCATTTCAGGTTTACCGTGATTATGGCCGTTGCGGGCGCTATTGTGGGTGTAGCGGGTAACTCGAACGGCGGCAAAATCACAATTTCGCAAATGATATCACGTTTTCGGACCGTGATTTGAAACTCTGGTTATTAGTATATTAGTCATATGATAAGTGATACGTATATAATTTTAGGGATGAACTTTTAATATTCTTTCACTTTTGGATTTGATTTTGAGTTTTAAAATCCATGAATATTCGTACGATAGAAAAAGCTATTTTAATCTTATATGAATGTAGTTGATGAGTAAGATTATTATTAAATATTTATTATATGATAATAAATTTTGAGTTAATAAAATTGTACATTTATCAGGAAACATATGTTATCTAAATAAAAGATTGTTGGTATAAAACCCGTAATTGTGAGCATATATATATAATGTATAATGCTATCGTATAATATGATACAAAATTAAGTGATTGATTATGTTACACATGGCATAGATATTAAAGTATCATAAAAATAAAGTGTACATATTGTAAATTATATTTATAATTTGACGAGGAGAAGAATTACAAATACTTAAAAACTTATTCAATAATCAATTATATAAAGAAATGAATTGTATAATTTATAAATAGAAATCGGTATTTTAATTTCCCATATCGATCCACACAGAAATTAATTCTGAAGATGATCAAATTGTTGCTTAAAAAAATAAAAAAAATGTAGTAATTATACCCCAAAATATAATTGAAATTATATAAATACAAGACAAAGAATCCATACATGACTCAATTATTTCTCATTCTCACCCACATTATATAAGAAAATACATGTTTATATTGCGTAAAATATATAAGTTTTGAACTATATTTTTAGGATAAATGAACGAAAATAGATGGTTGAGATTAATTATCGGTAAGAAATGATAAAATACACACACAAAAGTAACGAAATAATTTCAACCGTCTATTTTCACTCATCTATTTTCACTGATCTAAGGTGTAAAACTAAAAGTTTTACAACCTAAATACCCAGATTACTGCAACAAGTTACCCTCGCCTTCTTGCACATCAAAAGAAGAAGAGTTCCTGTGAAGCAGCTCCTCTATCATTTGCAGTGCAATTCTCTCTTCTTCATCCATGTCGGTTGTCAGTTCAGCAGCTTCAGCACCGTTTAACACCGGGGAATCGGAAGCCGATGCATCGGCCGGCACGGCATTTCCTTTTCCAAGCTCAACGGTCATCACCCAATCGGAATCCGAGCTCCGGCCGGCCCTTTTTTGCCACACTCCGATATGAGAATTCTCGTTGTCGAGCCTCAGACAAGTCATCGAAGGAGAAGGAGCCTTGCTGCATTTTCTGAGCTTGGAATAAAGCAGCTCGGATAACTCGGCGCCGGCGGGCGGCGTTGGATGGATGTTTTCAGCGGCTTTTCCGTCGGCTCCTCCGCCAGGTGGTACCGGGAAGTTTGTCTTTGCATTCCTTCCGCTCATTAAAATGGCTGCTTGATCGTATGCTCGAGCTGCTTCTTCGGCTGTTTCGAATGTTCCCAGCCACACCCTTCTCTTTCTGTGTCACCATGAATCATAAACCTTCGCCAAATATACCCAAAAAAAAAAACAGAAAAATCCTGTTGGTTAAACGATACTTACAGTAATGGATGACGAATTTCAGATACCCAGGAGCCCCAGTTACGCTGCCTGACGCCTCGAAACTTCTTGGTTTGCACCATGATTATGAAAAGAACGAAGGGTAGGGAAAAACCAGCTCAAGGAGGAAGAAGAAGAAGAAGAAGAAGAAGAAATGGAGTTTTTGATGAATGAAAGTACATAAGAGAGCTAAGAGATGGATGATCATATATGAAGAAAGATTTAATCCGAAAAGATGAGTTGTCGGCAATAGTAAAAAATGTTCATACTATCCGTCGTCCCCATACAAACGAACAAGAAAACCTACCAAATAAATGGCATGGGTCGAAACAAGGTATAATATCAAAATTAGCCTTCAAAATTTATTCGAATGATTATTTTAATTTATCCCGAGTATTTTAATTATTAATATCTTAATTTTTTATTAGAATGATCTATATTAGACGAAAATTATTAAATGGGTAATGGTCATTTTATGTTATTGACATGATATGTCAATTATGATGTCATCACTTTAGGTAACATGACACATCATTACCTTAGGTGATATAATGTAAACAGAGAGTCGGACCACAAAATACAACTAAAACATTTTTGGGATCGAATTTTATTGTATCATAGTCAATATGTTAATAGACAACTATTAAGTATTTAATGAAAATAATAATAATTTAAAACATATAAATAATCAAATGACCATTTTGTAACTTTAAAATAGTCGGATAATTTAATAAAACAATGTACTATAATTAAAAAATCATTTTATAAATTTTATTATTTGAGGGACTCAATAAAATAAGAATAGCATTTGTGTACTTTCCATATGATTGAAAACAATGTGAAAAAAGGGGTTACACGGGTGACTACTCAACTATAATAAAAAATCATTTTGATAATTTGATCAAATATACCATCCAACTATTTCAATGTTTCAATCAAGAGCATGGTCGTTAACTTTTAACAGGTGAAGTGAAAGTTAAAAAACTTGGTATATTACATATTTGGTCCTCAATATTTATACATTATATCTATTTAGTCATAATTTAATTTGATTAAAATAAAATTTAATCTCCAACTAGATGGTGACACATGTTACTATCTAATTGAAGGATATTTTCATATTTATTTATTTCAATTTATTAAGTGAGAAAACGAAGAGTGAAACAAAAAGTGGGAATGAACATGCATGAACCATCGCGCCGTACACATCATTTGGTTTCAAAGCATAGCATATTTTATATATCTTAATCTACTTAATGATAGCAAAAAAAGAAAAGAAAAATAAATAAATAAATGAAAATGAAAGAAATGATTTTTAATTTTATGTATTAATTATAATTTAATAGTTATGTATCATATTAGGAATTATTTCTTTCGTTAACTGTAATTTAATATTATATATAATTATTAATTATAATTAATAAAAAATTCTATTAAAAAATTAAATATATATATAAAAGCGTTGTATACTATAATTATATTTCTTTCATTAACAAAAATGAAAAATATGTAACTTTTTTTTATAAATTATAGTTATTAAATAAAAAAATTATTTATTTCATTAACAAAAGTAATAATACATAAAAATGTTATAAATTATAGTTAATAAAAAATTAATAATTAGATTTTCCATTAACAAAATTCTAAAATATACAAAAATGTTATAAATTATATTCAAACATATGATTAGATTTAGAGGTTGTTTGTTTACTGCTGAATGTTGAACGGTTCAGCATTCAACGTGTTTGATTCTCACCTCTGAATGAAGACTATGCTGAATGAAACAACAAAACACTGCTAAATAATTCAGCATTAAAGTACATTCTGAATCATTAAGCACCCGGTATTTTACCATAATACCTATTTTTTCACATGTTGTCTTATTAAACAATCATATCTTATAATATAATAAATCATTATGAATGTAAAAATGAAAATATTCATAATTCATATTGTACATTCAAAACCATTATCAAATAGATTGTCACATTCAGAGCCAATTCATACAGAGCCTTTGAATCATTCAGACCATTGAATCATTCAATGCTTAATCATTTTATTTTATCAAACAACCCCTTAGTGATTAAAGTGATTTCATTTCATCCTTGCTATCATTAAGTGGAATAAGTTATACTAAATATGTTGTGATTTGGAACCAAATGAAGTTGTCAGCGCAGTGGTTCAAGCATGCGCTTACTAATCACTATAACAACGGTTCGATTTCCATTAAGAACTTTATTTCCTCCAACCATTTATTACAGTAAATATAAATTTTTTTAAATAAATAAATAAATATAAAAGTATCTTCCAATCATGTATATCACGATTTAATTGGAGATTAAATTTATTTTAATTGAATTAAATTATGATTAAAATGATAGAATGTATAAATATTAAGGATCAAATATACAATTATACCAAATTTTTTAACTGACATGTCACATCATCCGTTAAAAGTTAACTGTCAGTGACTTGATTGAACCATTTAAATAATTGGATAATCTGTTTGATCAAATTAAAACATCAATAATAAAAATAATTTTTAACTATAATTGAGTGTTCATCAGTATAATTTAAAAAAAAAGATATTGATGGGACAAGTTTTTGTTCATCAATTTAAAGTACCAGTGATTATTTATGAGTAATTAATGGAAATAATGTGGAAAAAAAATGACAGAACAACTTCCCCTTGATCAATTAAACTACTAGTGTGATTATTTACAGTAACTCCGCAAAATTAATGCAGATTATTAATGAGTATGGGAAGGTTATTATGCAGAGTAAATGGGGCTTGTCTGCCCTTTTTTTAGGGAAGCTTATGAACTTCACATGGAGAACTATTGATGTAGGCCATGAGCTGATAAAAGCATGCAATTAACGAACAAAAATCTAAAATAAAACAACATGGTTGATTCAAGTGATAAGCAGTTTAATATTGCTTAAGCAAGATTTTGAATTCGAGTCATTGTGTATACAGAAAATCCATGTTGGGAGACTCAACGACTAAAATCAAGTGTGTAATGCAGAATTGAGTCAATCCGAATTAATCAATACAAAGCCTTATAACCCCACTTGTTAGTTAACTAATGATTTCCATCTATAAAGGGATCTTTTTATTCTAAAATAAAATATTGAGGACGAAAATGCTTTAGAAAAAAGAATAAGAGCCAAAGTGACTACTTGGTCAAAAGTTAGGGGTAGGGACGGATGCATGATTTTATATTAGGGGACGAACTAAAATTCTAAGGGCAAAAATTGATTTTCAATAGAAATTACATAGAAAAAAATCTAAAATATATGAAATTTTTTATATTTTTAGTGGAGACGACTACCTCACCCCTGTCCATCTCTGGTTAGGGGTATTTCATCATAAAATAAAATGTTGAGATAAAAATACTTTAAAAAAAGGGGTAAACTATTCAGTTGACCACTTAACTACTTAGTCATTTTACTTTTGCCATCGATCTTTCAATTTTGTCAATCACACCACATAACTATTTAATTATTTCAATCAAGCCAATAGATGTTAACGTTGACAAAAATGATGATGTGGCAATTAAAAGCCACTACTCAGTTGACCATTTAACTATTTAATTGTTTCAATCAAGCCACATAACTATATTTATGCCAATTCCTTTTAATTGTCGCGTCATCATTTTCGTCAACTGTTAATGGCTAATGGCTTGATTGAAAAAATTAAATAGTTATGTGGTGTGATTGCCAAAATTAAAAGATCGATGACAAAAGTAAAAGGGCTAAATAGTTAAGTGGTCAACTAAGTAGTTTACCATTAAACAATGAACTAAAATAAATATTTTAATAAATATTACGAGCTAATTTTGACATCATGGCAATCCAATCGTAAAATAATGTGTAACACCCTAATTCGATCAAACCCGAAAGCCGATGGACTATGATGTCACACGGAGCTACCTAAGTGACCAACAATTTTTTTAAATCGTTTCATCAAAAACATAACAATATATCATTCCAAATATCACGTGCCGACAAATAATAATAGTAGTTTAAATACGAGGGAGCTCCCAAAATAAGTCTCCAAAATACAAATACAAATAAGAGTTTATGACTCAAATAAAAATAAGGGTCTATGATAGTACATGCCCACTAAAATACTCGAGACGTACTCTGAAACAATCAGGCCTGAAAAGATCTGAATCGACGACGTACTCCTCGATCGACACTTAAGGACCTGCACACGGAAACACATTTCATACACTGAGCTCACAAGCTTAGTGCCACATAAATAACTAGGCTATACTACATGCATCCAACATATAAGCATGATACATTATGGTCATGAACGAATGTAAACACTTAAGCAATCAAGTAAGTATCGTGGTGTAGTTCGGGGTCACTTAGCTTCACGAAACTCATACCTTTTTTTTACTTACTACAACACCTAAGGAAGACCTGGGTCACATAGCATCAATGTCTACCTAATAATTGGGCTAAGTCTGGGTCACGAAGCATCGACACTTTACCCGACTAGTATACTCCTTTAAATAGTCGGGACGTGTCTATGTCACATAGCATCAGTACAACATCCAACTAGCAATTAGAGTGCTTAAGCACTTATTTGGAATTATCCAGATAATCCTTACACATTCATACTAACGTCATTAAGTAACTCGGGTGTCCTCATCGTTTTCCCGAGCATCAAACAAAGGCATAAGTCTTAGGGAATCTTACCTCAATAAAATCTTATGTTATTACACATTTTATTACAATTTTCTTTTGAAATCTCATGAAAAGCTAACACTTAGTTTTCCTTAGGTCTCTCGAGTCAATTTCCATAATTTTAGTCCCATTTTACCCAAATATGACTGTTGGTACCGATACTGGTCATTCAGTATCGATACCTATGACCAGATCACGATACTGTATGCAAGTCTCAAAATCGAAAATGGCTATTGGAATCTAGGTCTCGATACCGAGCTAGTCGGTCTTGAGATCGTGGCCCTAGTATCGATACCCTAGGCTTGGTATCAATACTACTGCCTAGAAAACCATGAATATGCCTAGAAATTTAAGAACAATCCCGAGACTCTTCTTCCAATCTTGAGACTGAACCTGCAGAACACTCTATTTTAGCACGAAAAAACCTAACTTTCTA